TTAATATCACTTTAACTGCGAACGAAAGAAAGAAAGTTATACTCACTTAAAAAGGAGAACTATGAGGCGAGTGCTTTTCACTCACCTCATAGTTCTAGCCAACCTGTGCCAAGTCTCAGTACACCGCTAGCAGTAGCTCGCGGTGTACTGTGGCGTCTCAGTATACCGCGAGCTGTAGCTCGCGGTATACTGAGCTTAATGTGACGGGAGGACGTGACTCAGAGCCTGCTTGTTCTTAGACCAGTCCTTCCAGCCTTGCTCCCTCGCCGCTGCAATGGTCTAAGGTCCCATAAATCATCACGTTCTGAAACACAGTTTATAGACGTGAGGACACTGAGGAACATTCCAATGCTGCAGCTTAGGAAGAGACACGCTTCAATGACAAGAGAAGCAGGGAGCCGACTCAGTGGTTCGGGTGAGTAACTTTTTTTTTTTTTAAGCACCTAGACAAAACGAGCAGTTAACCCTTACAGTGCAGGGGTGGCCCCACTGCAAGGGTTCCATACAGTTAATTAAAGTAAAACTATTATCTAGTACAAACAAAAAATAAATAATCCTGTCAAAAGAGTAGACACCATACCATGTTTCCAATTACTCAGAAAATCCTTTTCTAAACCTCTTTTTGTTTTACTTTGACTTTGCTACTTGGGTCTTTCTTTCCCACATCCCTGTCCAATGATACCACCCTTACTGTATATACTGAAGCAGTCTCACCAGGTAATGAAATGGCAGTTGAAAGGGTAGCCAAGTCAGCCCACACTATAAAGTGAAATTCAGGTTGGCCATACACTGGCCATTTTTTGTGTTGCAGGAAATGCAGGCGGTGGGCGTGTGTGCAGGCGGAACCAGAGGCTGTATGTGGTTCCCTGGCATGTTCAATTATGCAGCTACAAGGAGGGGCATTCAGACTGGGTGTGAAGAGAACTACAGCAGAGAAGTTACAAAAGTGGTTGCTGGGGGATTAGAGAGCATAGTGATCGCCAAACCGTGAGTAAATGTAAAATGAACCTGGCTCAGTTTTAAACTTTGAGCCGCTGTTCTGTCAAAAACTCAGATTTCTCGAGATCTCCAATGACGTCACATCCGGTTGACTTGCCAGTAAGAGGTTTGGATGAGTTGGCTCTAGTGCGCGTCCCGTGGCATTTTCCTATATACACATACCAAACAGCAATAAAGTATTATAATCAACTAGGGTAAGACTAATCCAGCACATTATTCTTAGTTGCCCCAAGCATCCTCCCACGCAGTAAAGAGACCTCGATAAGGCTTCTGGAGCTGCGCCGGCACAGTGAAGAGCATCGCCAAACTTGATGAGGATTAGGAAAATGCAGCAGGTGGCACACGCGCACTAGAGCCAACTCATCCAAACCTCTTACTGGCACGTCACGTCCGGTTGACATGCCAGTAAGAGGTTTGGATGAGTTGGCTCATTGGAGATCTCGAGAAATTGGAGATTACGACAGGACACCACCACTGATTTCTACAGGGTGATTGGCTGAGGCCCCACCTCTCTAGAGCTACATCAGCTATGCCCACCCCTGCTCTGTCTGTAGCTCCAGTGAGCACCAGAGTAACTGACAGGATGGGGGAATGCATGTAGGGAGGGTAGTGACTGACAGTCACCATTTCTGCAGGGAGAAAATACAAGAGCTGACTGATCTTTGAGGCAAGTGCAATGTCCTACCTTGACTCTAAACATCTAAAAGAGGATGTTTTACTCTCCCCATACTTCTTTAACTACCTCCCGGCCGGCCGTTGTGTATACACAACATCCAGCCGGGAGCTTCTTGGATGTAACTGGGCGTGTAAACACGTCCTGTTACATCCGCCCAGTTATTTGAAAACAGGCAGCGAGGCCCGTTAATATACAAGCGATCCGCCGGCTATAGAGCCGGCGGATCGCTTGTATGAGGTCCCGTGACGTGCGCCCCCTCCGCAGCTTCTTTCCTTT